TGTCTTTCAAAAGCTGGAGGAGTTACAATTGTCCTGTATTAACATTAAGAGTATATGGGGCAGCCAGCTTTCAATTGCATCTTCTTGTATTCAGATTCTGACAAAATTGATCATTGAGGGCTGTGATCATTTGGAACACCTATTGTCATCCTCAATGGCTAAAAGTCTTGTAAACCTTAGATGCCTTGAGATAAAGAAATGCAAGGAGATAATTGGACCAGAGAATGCAGAAGATATGGAAGATATGATTTCATTCCCAACGTTAGAAATCCTAAAGATAGAACATCTTGAAAAGCATACTGGGTTCTGCTCCGGAAATTTTAGTGTTGAATTCCCAGCCTTAAAGCAATTATTTATCGAGCACTGTCCAGAATTGAAGGGTTTCACATTCAATCATGCGAGCACGATATGACAGGTGGACTAGAACCCCTTTTTAATGAGAAGGTATATTTTCTTCATTTTTAAATGCATTTTGACTGATTTTAGGAATTGATTCTGAGTACCATCTATTTTTGATTAATTAAAAATAAATGCAGGTTTCGTTTCCCAGCTTGGAAATTTTATGGGTCAAAGGATTAGAATTGAGGATCATATGGCACCACCAACTTTCTGCAAATTCATTCGGCAAACTAAAATCACTGAGTATTTGGGATTGTCACAAATTATCAACTGTTTTTCCATCTGATATACTTAAAAGATTATGCACATCACTAGAAGAGTTGGATATATGTCGTTGTTGTGCTGTAGAAGAGATATTTGAACTTGGGGAATTGAAAGTTGATGAGTTATATGGTGTAACAGACACCCAGTTAAGACATGTGCGTCTTTGTCAACTACCAAGACTGAAGCATGTGTGTACCGGGGATCCTCGTGGTATGCTTACTTTTCAAAAATTGCAGTCTCTGAAAGCACATAATTGTCCGAACCTCAAAAATTTGTTCCAAACTTCAGTGGCTATGGAACTTCAGCAACTTGAAATGTTGGAGTTAATCCGCTGCGGGATAGAGGAAGTTGTAGCATTTGGAGAGGGAGATGAAGCAGTTCCCACTTTTGTGTTTCCTCGTTTATCTTCTCTTAACCTGTGGGTTCTACCAAGACTCAAATGTTTCTACCCAGGGAAATATGTGACAGAGTGGCCAATGTTAAAAAATTTTAGAGGGTATCATTTAGAAGGAGTTACAGAAACAAATGTGGAGACCCTCGGTGCATTTCCGGTTCAACTACCGCTTTTCACCGTGGAGAGGGTATGTGTCTTCCTTTATTATTATTAAGTTCACGTGACGTGTTAATTATATAGCTGTTGTTGCAAATATGCGGATAGCTAAGTCGCAGAAATAAAAAATAATAATAGCTTAACAAAAAGATAAATGTAAAATAAAAGGTGATTAATTTCCATAGAATAAGAAAATGATTCACGTATATAATCAGTTTTCCTAAAAACAAATATGGACAATTCCTATTTGGGGTGGTTTTAAAAGAATAATAACACAATTTAGGGGAGGTCTGGAAAATATTTCCACACAGGTTTTAATCTTGAGAATCATTCTAAGTTAGTATCTTGTACTACCAATTTGGCTCTTGACCCTAACTCAAAATTTCAAAATATTGCCCTTGCTAAATGGTTAAAAATTGTGTACTTGGAAAAATATAGACTGTTGTTTCGTAGTTTTATTTACTTAAGAGGAAGGATTCGTTTATATATAAATTTTATATATTATATATACATAAAATTTTAATTTTTTATTTTTTTTATTTTTAATAATTAAGATTTATTTATATTTAATAATAAAAATTATTATATTTTTAATCTAAAAAATTATGATAATAAATCCAGCAGTCTTTAATTTTTAAAAATATTAATTCAAGCAATCATCAAAACCATTTGCTAATAAAACTTGTTCTAATTGCTTGGTACTCCCTTCTAGAATCCGAGTGCTTTTAAGGAAAATGACTTTTGGAAATTTTTATCTCAATTTCCAGATTTTTTTAAAAGTCAATTTGAGAAAATGACTAATACTCCTTTCACCCAAGTTTAGTAAACATAATTGTGTTTAAATTTAGGCTTTATTTAATATAATTTTGATTTTAGATTTTTTGTTTTTGTTTTATATATTTAATAACTAGTATTATATTTAAATTAAATTTAATAAATTTGAGTTTTTATAGTAAATTTAATTTCTAAATATAGTTATAGTTACTAAATCTAAGAAATATGAAAAATTCAAAGCCAAAATCATACTACACGGAATCTTAGTTGCTCACTTTTTTTTTAGAATGTTATTTAATATGTTTATTCTTAATTTATTATTATTTTAAAAAGATAATTACAACATATATTAAATAAAAAGACTTATTCA